TTATTTTTACATTTTTCGATCACAGCGCGATGTTTTCGTCGCGCTGTGATGACGTCAAATGCGCGCTTTCGGCGAGCGCGATTTTGTCCTCCACGATTTTGTGGTGGAACCCCGAAGGCAACTGATCACCGCCAGACGGCCTCGGACCCCCTCTCTGACTCCGACCCAGAGCCATCGTCCGAGCCTTCCCCAGACTCCAGGACTGGCCCGTGTTCCTCCCCAACCTCCTCACTCTCCGACTCGGCTGCCTGCCGCTGGCGGCCACAACAACGGGCCATCAAACACGGCTCAACCGTTCCTTATAACGAAACAAGAAGGCCGCTCGGTGGCATTTTCACACAAATCGCCACGCAAAACCCAGGCTCCGTTGTGGGTTTTATTTATTTTAACCCAACAGCCAACTTCACACAAGGCTCGATCAAATTTGTTTGTCTTTGGCTCAGTGATTCAGCCAGCCAGACATTTTACGGCTTAACAGTGTTGTCTGGAGGGAAGGTTCTGGTTGGGTGAAGTTTATTTATCTTCTCTTTTTCTCCCCCCCACCCCTCTCCTAAATCTTTTCCTGCCCTCAAGTTCCTGGAAACCCTGGAACAGCAGCTGTTAGTAGTGGAGTTGAAACGGATGCTTGATCTCCATTCGTCCCTGCCAAACGCCCGTCCGTCTGTCTTAGGCCTGGAAACCCGACATTTAACCGAGTTCCAACCTGCTCGCCAAGTAAGGGCCAACCCGTTTTTTTCTCTGTCCACCGTGCTCTGTTGAACCTGCAAAAAATCAAGTTTTCTTCACAATAGAATAGAATAGAATATAGGAATAGAACAGAATATGGAGTAGCTTAGAATAGTAAATAGAATGGAGTAGAATGTGGAACGGAATGGAATAGAATATGAAATAGAATAGTAAATAGAATAGAATAGAATAAGGATTAGAATAAGGAATAGATTAGTAGAATATAGAATATGGAATAGAATAGAATATAGGAATAGAATAGAATATAGAATAGAGTAGAGTAGAATGTGGAATAGAATGGAATAGTATATGAAATAGAATAAAATAGAGTAGAATGTGGATTAGAATAAGGAATAGAATAGAATAGAATAGTAAATAGAATAAAAGAAGAGTAGAATATGGAATAGAATAGAATAGTAAATAGAATAAAAGAAGAGTAGAATATGGAATAGAATAGAATAGTAAGT